GTTCTTTTTTTGCCTTACTATCGACGCATCTTCTCAAAATATATGGTCAGTTAATGCGCTTCGTAGTGGAGTGTAAGTCTGGTATACAAAGGCAGATATACTCATATAAACAGTAGAAATTTTAGTGATCGATCTCTGTCAAGTTTTTAAAATTAGATTGACCCTTAAAAATGTCAATAATAATTGATATTTAAAAGATAAAAATTTAACACTTGTTGTTAACACGAGCTATTCAAATTACTGTCAAACCATTGCATTTGATTTCGAGCTGTTTTGACATGTTCACAGCAACATCGATCAATTTGAAGTGATTCGGATGGAATAACTCAGGAAACAGACACTCATCAAGTATGATAACTTTTTTATTGCTTGATTGATGACTTTGACATGAAATTCTGATAATTTTTAATAATAGCCTATTCTTATTTTTCTCAAATATATATTATATGTTCTTTTAATCGATTTGGAAAGCCATTTTGATTAGTAATGTATATGGCACGATCTTCGGAGATTAAAAAAATAAATACATAAACAATTTTATTTAATTTTTTTTTTCACATTTAGTCTACGATCGTTTGAAAATTCCATATATCAATAACCAGCTAGCTAATTAAGCTACACTTACATATTCTAAAACTTCATTAGGACATAACCTTTTATCGTGAAGTCGATTTCTTACCAATTTGCAATTGACTAAAGCTTTGAGCTTAGTAGTTACTTAGCGTAGAGCATTTAGTTATCTTCTTATGAAATTGGAAGCTTTGAGGCTTAGTGATTGCATATAGTTATCCATGGACTCGAAACCCGATCGTTTCAAACGCTGCTACTCTCTTCGACTCTCGCTTAAACTTAAACCTTTTAGATAAGCAGCTTTCGAAATTATCACAGAACATTTCAATCAAAAATTATATAAATTATAAAATTATATAATTTGTAAGCGCATACTTATAATTTTTACCATGGGGCAGCTCTTAATTACCTAAATAATTTTACAATTGCAGCTTTCAGACTATATTTCCCATAGAAATTACAGCTCTAAGTGAAAATCGCATAGTTCACTGATTTCTTGTTTGCTTTTGTTTTTGTAATTTATGCAACCAGTTACATTATCGAAAATAGTAAAACATACTCAGCTTGAAATTACCATATGTATCCATAATTTCCTCATTTCATTTTCATTAGAGTATGATGAAACTATTAGGAAGCCTCACTTCGCTGCAAGCAAGTTGCCGAACTAAAACCARTTTGAGTTTATGAAAATTGTAATTTGTTTTTGCCATTGTATTGCAGTATTTCTTAAACGTTTTTCACAAAATTTTCATTACTTTCATTAAGTACACTTGCAAACATAAAAGTAGGCTTGATTTCTGCTAAAATTAGTGTTGTACAGCAAGACAATTAAAGCAAGAACAAGAAAAAATGTTAACTTCGGCTGCACCGAAGCTAATATACCCTTCACAGGTGCATTTCTTTTAGTAACTATGTGTTCAGTTTATATGAAAGGTATATGCTATAGTTAACCGATCTGAACAATTTCTTCGGAGATTACATTGTTGTCTGTGCCGAATTTCGTGAATATATCTTGTCAAATGCAAAAGTTTTTCATACAAGAACTTTTTTCCGATCGTTCAGTTTGTATGGCAGCTATATGTTATAGTGGTCCGATATCGGCAGTTCCGACAAATGAGCAGCTTCTTAGAGAGAAAATGATATTTGCACAATTTCCAAACGATATCTTAAAAACTGAGGGACTAGTTTGTATATATACAGACGGACAGACAGACAGACGGACATGGCTAAATCGACTCAGCTCAACATACTGATCATTTAGATATATACTTTATAGGGTCTCCGACGCTTCCTTCTGGGTGTTACAAACTTAATATACCCGGTTTAGGGTATAAAAAACGTTTGACGGAACCAAAACTATGATACCCTGCACAGTTATGTTTTTTGTTTTATAATTCAACCCTTTTGCAAAACCTTGATTTTGTTCGACCAGTTTATATGACAGCTTCATATATGTATGGATGTTATAGCTGTCCGATCTGTATGTGATGAGCAATATGTTTGGAGATCTTAACCTTGTCTTTAACAATATTCTTTCGTGAATATATCTTTTCAAATAAGAGGATTTAAAATAGAATAGCTTGATTTTGATCGGTCAGTTTGTTTAGCAACAATGAGCTATAAAAGTCGGATTTCGTTGGTCCGACAAAGGAGCAGCTTCTTGCGAAGGAAATCACTTGTGCAAAGTTTCAGATCGATATCTCAAAAAACTAGTTGGGATATACGCAGACGAATAGACAGACAATAGCCAATCGACTCTCGCCACACTGATCATTTTTATGTAAACATACTTTATAGGACTTCTTCTGTGCATTAAAAACATCATGCTAAACTTAATATACCCTCTTCAGGGTATAAATATGCTTGAGTAATAATAGTTTCACAATGGAATTTATCATCCCCACGATCGAAAAAAAAAAACAAATCAAAATTTTATAAGCACAAATGTACAAGATGATTTGCATTTTCGGAAAATGTTTGCGCCAATTTTGATGGCGGAGATAAAATTAAAATTTTACTGTGAAATTTATGTATCACAAATATAATTGATGTTTGTACATTTTCTTTTTTTTTTCAAAAGAATGCAAATATAGTAAATATGATATTTTATTTGGAGCAATGCACTCAAAACTGAGACCCTCAGTTGAGTGTCTATATTAGCAGACTTCAATTGGCCACTTCTCTGCTCTCTATGTTTGAGCTCTTCTTTTTTGTCCAAAATATTAAAGTGAAAGCATTAATAAATTGGTATAATAGCTTGATATGCCGGTATTCGATTGTACCAGTTTATTAAATGTATACCAACTGTATGTCCGATTCGTCACTAAATAATTTTTAATGAATGAATCACGCCGACTCAAATAATATTTTATGAATTAAAATTGTGAATTAAATTTTCTGTAATCATTATGTGTTCATAAAAATGTAACCCGAAAATTTATTACCATGACAAAGTGTAACACTCTTAAGTGCCATAATTAACACTCTTATCGTGACTTCAAAATTCGTATCTTAGCAAAGATCAACCGAAGAAAAACGTTTATATCCGTACGTCGAGAATGATTTACACCCAAAAAAAATAGCCAACGATAAGATTATACTGGGTTTGCAAATTTTTGTTAGACGCAAATCTACAAACTACTGCTATCATTATAGATAAGTACAGGTAATGATCGATGGTCTAGTAGTAATTTGATTCGTTAAGAAAATTACAGCTTCCCAATTAAGTAGATTTTCGTGGAAAAAACTTCACATTCATCGTGGTTCAAAAATAGACTGTATTAAAAAAAACATTTACCTTCGATTATTTTCTAACAGATATATAAAGCTGTGTGAAAATGTCAAGCGAAATTTCAAATCGAACTTCAGTAAAGCCGTTTCGTCAAGTTCGGGAAGTTTTGCTCGCCAACTCAAAAAACAGCGTTTCGATCATAAAGCGTCTAAAATTTTGAGCGCCGATTAAAGTAAGTTAAAAAATTCTTACGAATACGCTCATATCTCCGAAAGTATTTGCCAAATCAGCTTCAAATTTTCGGCAAAATTTCTTAAATATATGTAGATTCGAAATACATACATATATGCAAATAAAAACAAAACATTTTTGAAAATTCAAAAGTGAATTTAACCCCTTAAGTATAAATATGAACAGAGTTGCCACACTTATTAAACTTTAAGTGGGTTAAAAGGCAAAAAAAATATTTAGTACATTTAAGCAAAAAAATTTTAAAACAGTTTCAAAATAAGTATTGCCACCTGATTTAAAACATAAAAAAAAATTATTTGGAGAATAAATCATTTAGGATTGAAAGAATAGTTCATTGAAAATTTCGCATTATATTTGGTTTTCTTAAAGCTTTAGTATCTCTTCATATTCTTAAACAAATATTTTAAAAAAGTGTTGCCAACTGATTTAAAACAAAAAATAATAATTTTGAGTATTTCGAAAAATATTTAATGGAAAAGAGATCGGTTTTCTTAATGCTCTAGTGTTTTAACATATTCTTAAACAAATAATTTCTAAGAAAATTTGTTAAAAATATGTTGCCACCTGATTTAAAATATGAATAAATAATTCTTTGAGAACTTCGAAAAAAAATTCCGGTTTTCTTAAAGCTTTGGTGTTTCAACATATGCTAATTTTCAAGAAATTGTTTAAAAAATGGGTTGCCACCTGACTACAAATTTAAAATAAAAATAATTTTCGAATAATATTTGACTAAAAAGCGACAAAGTTGTTTCAACATATTCTTAAACAACGAATAAAAAATAGTATTGCACCATTGCGTTGCCACTTAATATAAAATGCAAAAAAAATAATATTTTGAGTATGTCGACTAATATTTAATGCAAAAGAGACCTCTTAAAGCTTTAGTATTTCTACATATTCTTAGAATACTGGTAAACGAAAATGCAATCTCTGTAGGCGAGTCGAGCATTTACATGACTACCAATTAATAAATCATAGGTTCGAATACCGTCCAAGACAGAATTTCAAATTACGGAACACATTTTTCGGTTAACAACACTTAAGTTCAATCCTTAAACTTTGATTTTCTGGATCTTAATCAATTTTTTTTTTTTTTGCTATGAACTGTAATTTACTTCAATACATGCCATTTTCCACCGCAGCTTAAAAGAAAATGTGACACCGCGCTTCGTTGGGTTAACTAAATTGGTGAATAATCTCAACTTTAAGGTCTTCTTACTTCGCTATTCGCGCCAAAAACAAATTGCAACAATAAGTTAAGCAACTAGATCGAACTAGATGCCGCTCTTTGTACTAATTAATTAATTAATTTAAATTTGCAAATAATTGTTCGCAAGTGCATTGCTATGTTGCACAAATGAAAGCCACACACACACACATGCATATTAATATACAAAATGAAATAAGATTTATAGAAACGAAAGACAATGAAATTTCTATTTACCAAAGGTGCAGGACACTTTCGCGTGCATTCTGCTTGTTATCCTGAAATTCCACACCGAAATCAAATAACGAGCACTTAAGCAAAATTGATTTACTAATTATTTTTTTTTTTTTTTTGTGTTTGTTTTTGGTTTTGCCGAAAAAATAACGTATGTTAGACAAAACTCTGGCACTGACCACCGGTGGACACTTGTCTCAAAAGCTAACAACAGCAATAAACAAAAAGAACAGCGAAATCACCGTCATCTGGATTAGGACGGGAGGACCAGCAAACCGTAGCGGTCAAAATCTCAACGATTACTGAACTAAAATTTTAAAATTGACAAACCCATGTGCTAGCAATTTTTTTCATACTGTTGTTGTTGTTATTGTTGCGCTTTTGCACATGTATGTATGAATATGTGCGAGGCGCGAAAGAACTGAACACCCGGCGAAGAACACTAACTACACGGTACCTACTCGAATAAGTATTATATATTTGAGTGGCGTCAAGCCACGGGCAGACTACTCAATAAGTAACAACAAACACACAAGAAAACAATAATAGCAACAAATATAAAATTGCTAACTAAAAAAATTTTCAAAATAATGAAAATCAAATTGACAACAACACAATAACGGTGAATTTGTAATAGTAGCACATTGCTACTGTCATGCATGCATGTGTGTGTGACTTTTCTATATTAGAGTAGTGTTTTGTGTGTGTGTGCGTGTATATGTACATCATGGCATGGCATTATCAACAATAACAGAGAAATTGCAATTTGCCGTCGACGCTCACGCGCCAATCTGTCAAAAGCGAAAATTCACAAGCGACTCTCATGCACTTACATGCATGCATACATGTGTGTGTGTGTGCGTTTGCTTTGACGCGCATAGCATTTTTATAGTGGTTGCTTGTGTTGATTAGAGCGAGGTTCGGTGGCGCTGCGACAACAACAGTAATTTGCGAATATTAAACGATTAGTTGGTGATAAGAACAAAGAGCACTTGTATGCGCTCAACTCACACTTGTTTGCGTGCATGTGTGTGTTTATAGTGAGTGCACACATGAAAATGCGGAGGTAAATGCGAGGTACTGCGTAGGTGTATCTTTGCGCGGAGATTTCATGCAGGTGTGGTAGCGTGTGTGTGTGAGTATTGATGCTCGGTGGACATGCCTTCATATATCCTCGTAAACCTATACATGTACATACATACGTATACATGTATATACCTGTATATACATATAACTGTTGTTGACAGTGCGAATTTCGTTCCGTTTTCCTCAGTGAGGGCAAGAATTATTAGATATGCGTATGAACTATGGAAATTAATAAGCCTAATTTTAATTACGTAAAACATTCAGCGATTATGGTATTTGTGGTTTGGTAAAAACGTATCTTCGTCGTATAAATTACTTGAAACACGAAGCAAGTTTGTGTTTATTCACTCTGGAAACCTCGAACACTTTGATTTCATTGCAAAATACTTGGATTACCAGAACACCGACCTAGCCCTGACTGTCGTTTCTGTGCTCACTAACATTCAAGGGAGGAAGTAACTGCAAGGCGGTTACGAATAAATTCCTAGCATAAGCACTTCAGTCTTAATAACTGCGGGATGAGAACAGGCTTCTTGCGGTTCACTACTGCACTGTTTTGCCTTGGACTAGCTCAGCTGGCGTTGGGCAACTAACAGCAGCTGTACAGTCGCAAAGTCTTACTGGCGCAAAGTAAAACGTAAGAGGTCTAGAGGCTGAGGTCTTCACCCTCAGCAAAGTACACCTTTCAATGGTTTTAGGAGTTCTAACTGGACATGACCGTACAGGATTCACGCAGTATGATTGAACACCTTACCGGATGCCAGTTGCGTCTACTGCTTGGAAGAAGATGCGATGAAATCGTCTCAACAATTTCGTCTCGAATGTCCTATGCGCTATTTCAAAACAAGAACTGGCTTCAGTAATTATGACAAATTTGTATATCCGAAACAAAATGTACTAAGTTTGTCAAGCAGATTGTAAAACACAAGAGAAAATGTCGAAGAGCTTAGAAAGTACTTACATATACATATATCTTCTTCTTCTTTAATGGCGTAGACACAGCTTACGCAGTTGTAGTCGAGTTTACAACAAGGCGCCAGTCGTTCTCCCTTTTTCCAGTTCGGCACCAATTCGAGAATCCAAATGTAGAATGCTCCTTCTCCAACTGGTCTTTCCAACGGAGTGGAGACCTTCCTCTGCTTCCACCAGCGGTTACTGCGTCGAACACTTTCAGAGCTGAAGTATTTTCATCCAATCGGACGACATGACCTAGCCGCTGACTTTTAATTCCCTGAACCATGCCAGTGTCGTCGTATAACTCGTACAGCTCATCGTTCCATCTAATGCGATATTCGCCGTAGCCATAGCGCAAAGGACCATAAATCGTACGCAGAACCTTACGCTCGAAAACTCGTAACGTCGACCCATTTGCTTCGCTTCTTTATCCAGAATGTACAAAGCAAATCTAACGGTGGTGATGTTGGCGACAGTGATATCAGTATCATCGGTGTACGCCAGCAACCGTACACTCTTATAGAAGATTGTACCTTCTCGATTAAACTCTGCAGCTCGAATTATTTTCTCTAGCAGCAGATTGAAGAAGTCGCACGATAGGAAGGGAGTCTCCGTGTCTGAAACCTGATTTGGTATCGAACGACTATGAGAAGTCATGACATGAGATCAACGAAGTGTGGTGGGTGGCGATCATCTTTTCATGGCTCTTTTCCAAGGTTTTCGTGTAAAGCTACATACATATAAGCAGCTTGAAATGCCATCTCGTAGTTCCATTATACTGAGTTGCTGATGAGTGCTCTCAGAGAACAGGAATTCAAGTCGTGTAGAAAATAGTTCGGTTGTCTATTTTGATTGCAGCCCCTTGACGTCGAACCTTCCTTGTGTTTGTTGACCTGCGTTTTTTGCATAAATTAGCTGCAACAAGAAGATATCCGAATCATTGTTAAGACCTCGAACGGTACGCACGTTTAAAACACTGGAGACGTGTCTTCCATCATGATCAATAGGTTCGTTCTGGTTGGTGGCTTTTCGATTCGGAGACAGCCAGGTAGCTTGATGAATTTTCCTATGCTGGAATCTGTACTACATATAATCATATTTATACATATACCTATATATACATACATATATATATGCAAATAATCAGCGCATCAGTTTTTAAGATATCGATCTAAAATTTTGCGTACATTGTGCCGTATCGGACCACATCAAAATCATGTTATTGTATGGAACCCAAATTAACTCAACGATTTTGTCTAATTTATGATATACATATATATGTTTTGGAGTCAAATCACACAATTCATTATGATGTACGTACCTCAGATATCGATCCATTTATTCGATGAAAAGTCAAGAGAAAATAGGGAGATTATCTCATTTTTAATGAGAGTTGCTTCATGTCTGGGGCACTATTTGTATTACCTTTCGTATCTTTTTTCTTTATCGTTCTAAACGGGTTAGATCAATGAAATAACAGCCCTTGGCTGAATAAAATCCGGGTCAATTCGGGTGCGTAGCACCGGCTGTTGCGGGATTTGACATTGATGCATAAATTAACTAAATTAACCAATTTCGATAATGAAAATCTGAAGATGTTTACAATGGCCTGATTTGAAGAGCAGCCGTTTTGTCATTTTTAAAAAATAAAAATAAAATGTTAACTACAGCATAACTACCTCACCGCCTACCTTTACTACTGTAGTTTTGGATTAACAGAGCTCTAGCTTAGATGGACTTTAAGCTATCCGACTATGACAATTAACTCGTCTAGTAACGCCATAAACTAATATCCTCATTTACATATATATACTCCTTTGTATTCCCGATATTTTGGAAAATTCGATTTTCTCCTACTTTCAAAAAATTGCAGCAAAAATGATATACAATATATGGTACATACAAGGTATATAAAACAGTATACCAATTGAAACTTAAGTATTTTATGAGTGCAATTATATGCTGTCAACACTTATCTCTGTTCCAAAAAAAAAAAAAGAAAAGGTAATAATAAATAATCGATGATTTTTTTAAAGGAAAAGTGCCGTCAGCAATTTCCAGACCATCCATCAAGTATTGCTACGAATATTTTACGACACACAAACACAAACTCGTTTACGGGTTCAGAACGGTCAGAAGTGCTTTCTGATTCATTCACAAAGTTAGTTAAAGCAAAAAAATAAATGTACATTCCAAATTGATAGGAATTAATTTTCCTTGACAGGAAAATGGGAGCCAATTCAAAAATAGTTTTCTAATTTATTACTAGAGAACTTTGTGATATTAAAATAAGGTAAGCAAGGGCTAAGTTTGGATGCAACTGAACATTATACTTGCGACTTGCTGGCATCAAAGTTAGGAACACAAACAATTTTATATAATATTTACAAATACTCTATATAACTCATACACTGACCGACATATTTGGCATAAGGTTTCTTAGAAAAACAAAAACATTATACGTAGTATATGGGAGTAAAAGCAGTATCGATCCAATTTTATCAATTAACTATGATGCCACATACTAAGCAAAATGTTCCCAGGGTTTCATTAAGGTATCTCACACATAATCATATAGAGTAAAGTCAGTCGGATGTTCGAAAATCTTTATATTAGGTATATGGGGGCTTAGGCAAGTATTGAACCAATTCAACCCATTTTGATATACAGGATATACTGTTATCAGGAAAAGATTCTCTCTGAATTTTAATTATATATAATACATACCCCATTAATTGGCCGATTATTTAGGTCAAAAGACAACTATAGATCCTGTGGTGCACATATACATATTCGGTTCTAGGGGCTTGAACACTTTTGGTTGGATTTGGACAATTTTTGGTCATAAAGTATGTACTGGAAACCGAAGGAACCAAATGGAATTGAAATTTGTGTACTGTGGGACGAAATTGTGGTTGTAGTCCGATTTCGACTACCCGTCGTTTTGCCATTTCATTTGGTCCATTGTACTTGTTCCTTCATAACCTTGAGATATTTTTTGTTTATTTTATCTCATTGCAAATTATTTGGACTATTTTTTTAATTAAATATCAATCACTATAACGTCGTCACTTTTATTTTATTTCGCCATGAATGTTTGTCTTGAGCTCATAAATATTCCATCTCTTACTGATATCAGTTGTTTTTTTTTTTATAAGTTTCAAGTGAATTTTCTATTTCTTTCGACAATTCCACTTTTTAATGCATCCGGACAATGTGAAATGGCTCTAAAAGCCCTAAAGAGCGTT